TGATCTTGATTTTTTTTTTTTTTTGCTTCATAATCTTGATTGTCTTGTTCTTCGATTTAATTGCCCCAATCCCCCTTCTTGATTGTGGATTTTGGATCTTCCTCTTCAATATATTTTCTCTTGTATTTTGTGTTGATGGGATGACACGGAGAATGAGAATCACATATGAATTGGAGACCATAGCCCTATTTATAGTTTTCATATGTATTTGGCCCATCGTCAACTACAACCCTAATGGATCCGATCTCTACACATATAATTCGACCTACACTTTATTTAGATGCCCTAAGGCGAACAATTTAATTCTTTATTAGATCACTTAATTTGGCTCAACTTTAAGATATCCTTATACACAATTAGTTGCACATGTAGACCCACATGACAAATTAATAAACTCAACACTTCATACTGACATTATACCAGCCCGAGTCCTTCCCGTCCTCCTTGAATGAAAGTAGTTGAATCGATCAATAGTTGGAGAAAAAGATTATCACAGAACTTATCAAAAACAAATGCACAAGCACTATAATCTATCTTTTTTCGTACTTGACAATTTTTTTTTAATCTATATTCTCTAGAGTAGCAACACCTGGATTAGGTTTACTATTGTATTGTTGTTTCTCTCTAAAACGTCATGTTTTTCTAGTACACCTAAATTTTTATTGTGCTGAATGTTGTTGCATTTAGCTTATTACTTTTATAAAGGTAAACAACTATAGATTTTGATGTCATGATTTATTAGATTTTAGAGACAATAATAATTTTAATCAATGCCTATTTATGCACTTATACTATTTTGCATTAATACAAATTAACTTATATGATAGTTCAATATTGGTACAGAGTCAAAAGTTCACTATGTTACCAAACATCATTCGCAATCATATAGCTTTATTATTATAAACCTAATTTCATAACGCAAAATTCAACAAGTTCTTGGTGAGAATTACATCAATTCTTTCTAACCTTAGAACTTCAACTCAGTTGGTAGATCAAATAATTTTAGATGAGATTTTCTACAAATATTTCAAACGCCGAGTACCACTCACCTAATAATCAATAGGTTTAAGTAAGAATCTCGCTCATTCTATTGATTTTAATATTTATAGTAATCCATGAATTAACGGATATCGTGTAAATAAGGCAATTTCATAAGATGTTATAAAAGTATAAACATGTCTATTTAACCAATTATGACATCATAATATGACAAATTAATTCTTTCTCAAAAATAATTCCAAATATTATTAAAGAATAAAAATTGCATCCATTATGTTTTATTATACAACTTCTCGATCTGGCCATAATCTATGTTGCAAAATAGTCCCGAAAAATGAGAACATTTTAGTTAAGGCCTTTTTTTAGCATTGTAAAATATCTTCTTAATAGAATTGTTACTTTCCAAAAATGCTTGCAGCTATAAGAAAGTTGAATTTGCTTTGGTGTGGTT